TCCAGGAGGATTTATCTACGAGAAAGTACCAGTCGACATTGCGGATCGAAAGAGCAGGTTACTCTGCAACCCGGGAAATACCCTTTGTAAAGGTCATATGGCATAAACACACACTAAAGGAGGCTACATGGGAGTTAGAATCAGACTTTAGAGTCCAATATCCCCAGCTATTCGATCGAGAGTAAGAGACAAATTTGAGGGACCAAATTTCTTTTAAGAGGGAGAGAATTGTAACACTCATTATTTATTTTTTTATTTTATTTTGATTTAATGAAAATAATAATAATAGTAATAATAATAAAAAGAGTGAAAAATTAGTTAAGAATTTAATTGAAAATAATTTTGAAAAAAATGGGTGAAAATTTGGGTTCTGAGGGTATTTTTGAAAGAAAAATTAGAAACCGTAGGTCAAAACGCAATTTAAAAAAATTACACCACGTCAGATGCCTGGTCAGCAGCCCCGACCAACCAGGATGCACCAGGTGGCAAAGGCACTGACGCGGGAGGCCACGCAGGGGGAACCACGTGAGCGATCCGCGTGCGCGCAATCGAACAGCTGAGATCCATTCCGCGCGCACAGATGACCCAGATTCAAAACACACATGGACAACCCAGATTGCATCGCGCACGGACGGCCTAGATTGGATTGCGCACGGATGACTCAGATTGAATCGCGATGAACGGTCTAAATTTACTCCCTATTTAATCACGATCAGACGGTCAATATTAAAAGCGATGAATGGCCCAGATCAAAAGCGAATGGGTATAAATAACCTCATTTGCACCCGAACCCTAACCCTAACCGCCAAAGCCCCTCGCTAGAGAAGACAACCCAGCCGCCAGAGAGCCGATCGCTGCCATCCACTGCCGCACTGGAGCAATTTTCGATCGCCAAACGAGATAAAAATTTCTCCTATTGCACGAAATTCAATTTTAAACCCACCCATGCCAAATCGAAGTGAAAAAACTGACCAATTGGCCGAAAAATACCACCGAAGCTCGGCGGCAATGCCGTGGGGTGTTTCAAAAAATGCCTCCGATGAGCCCTTTCGATTCTCGTTGATGTAATTTTTTCACCGTTGTGATCACCGTTTCCTTCTCTACAGGTTGACTGAAGCAAAACACCCAACTGCAATGTGAGCCGGAGGAGCTGCCGCACTAGAGAGCTCCACCACCTGTGAGTTTTGGTTTTCTACATTTTTTTTTCCCACCGAGGGCCTTAAGTGTGTTTTTTCGCAGGAGTCGATGCAAGTTTGGCTGAATTTGGCTAAAAAGGGCCGAAAACAGCTAACCCGAGGCGGTCGTCGTCGGAGCACTGCGGAGCCGCCGTGTTGGATTCTGAAATTGGCCGAATAGGCCATGGGACTTATTTTTGGGTTTATTTAGGACATTTTTAAGTACCGTAAGCGCGTTTCAGTTCCTGAAAGAAAAATTAAAGGAACCCAGGGACCACCCGTAGGCGTAGTAACCATTTAGTTTTCAGTGTCAAATCAGGTAAGAACCCCTCACCCTATTTCGTATCATAGATGTGAAGTTTGAATAAATAATAATACGGTCTTTTGTACAAGTTAGATAAATATGTATAATTAATTACAGATTGCTAATGAAGCCTGAAATCGGACATTGTTATCTGTTGATTCCTATTGATTTATTTTACAGTTTAAAGACATGATGGTATCTGGTTCTAGAGTTTTAAATGCATGTATTACTGTATTACTTGACCACTATGTAATTTTGGGATTTAAGATATGATTGTATTACCGGGTGCATGTTCATTATTTATGTGATTGTGTTTAATTTAGTAATGGAGATTAATGATAAACAAGAAAGGGATGTGATCTAATAAACAGATAAAGTGACAGCCTCACTAGATATCCTGAGAGATGGTAGACGAATTGGATTCATAGGGAACCCTACCGTGAACGTTGTCTTATACCGGACGGGGTATGGAGACTTGGTCATTTGGCGCTCATACCGGAAGGGGTATGGGGATGACCCGCTTCACCCTCATACCGGACGGGGTATTGAGGTTTAATATCTTGGCGCTCATACCGGACGGGATATGAGAACGACATTGGAATTAAGATTGTTAAGGAAAAAAGTTCACGTGTAGCGGAGATACCCCTATGGATCCCCATGGATACTAGTAGGCTGGTGAAACGAGAAATAGTGATGATTAGTTATTGTCAATAAATATAAATTTATGATATGTTCTATGTTACTGATTGTGCATGAAGTTATGATCTGTATGATGTTATTGTTTTTATAGGTTGTTTTTACAGATTCCCCAATGGTAAGTAAAAAGGTAAATGGTTTTACTTTTAATGAATATATTGTTTAAATTTAGTGCTTTATTGGTTGTTTTTGGTTTTTTACCAACCTTTACTTATGTGCCGATGATAGAGTGTGATGTCCTTACTGGACTAGTGTAACTCACCTCTTATTTAACCATTTTAGATCAGGAGTACCTAGTTCCCGAGCCTGATCCGCAAGAAGGCTGCGAGTAAAAGGTAGATACTTTATAGTTTCTTTTATTTTTTTCATTTCTCGTATTTCTTTCAGAGAATTTATTTCGTGATATTTATTTAGTACTTTTAATTATCATGTAAAAGATATTAACCTTAATCTTTATTTCATTTCCTCACTCAAATTATTATATACATTTTCTTTTAAATTTCTGGGGTCGTTACAGTACTTCTAAGTAATTTGTCCCATAAATTCTATATCTATCTATATGAAAAAAAAATCATATAACGAAGAGAATTTTTATTTGTACAAATGGTACTTTGAATTTGAAACGAATATGAAGAAATTAAAATATTTTAAAAAATAAAAAATATTAATCACCGAATTGATATATATACATATATGTGTATATATTAGACGTGAACTTAAAAAGTTAAAGAGTCTTTCATAATTGAAGTATGATCTTCCTTGATTGCAATAATTTAAATTTTTTCATTTAAAAAAATGGACACGACATACTCTGCGGCGGAATCAGAATTTCTGATCCAACGGTCAACATAAATTTGTCAGTGCAAACAAAAGTAATTAAATATTTTTCATCCTTACGGAGTATAAATATATATATATATATATTTCTAGATACGTGTGAATTGTTGATTGGTTGTCCCCTGTGTTCTAAGTTTATGCTACAAGTGTTTTTTTTAAAATAATTTTATTATTATGGGTATTATTATTGATGTGAATATGACATTTAATTAACAACAACAAAATTTTATTAAAAAAAATTTGAATTAATAATATTACAATATCTTAAACTAAAACATTATTTTTATAAAAATATATAAATAATCACTGTATGTTCCCCTAAAAAAATGATTGTATTGTTATTAACGTGTAAGAATTTTTATTAAAAAATATATAAATATAATTTATAATAGTAAATATTAAAAAAATTGATCCCCGTGATCAACTAATCAAGAACACCAAGCTTCATCTAGGAAAAAGAAAGGAGCTTACCTCACTTTTTCTCTGAATTTTGTGCATATTTCACGGGCATTATACTATTTTCCCACCTCTCTGTCTCACTCCCCTCGTGAGCTTACGTTCCGTCGTTTTCATCTCCTCTGCAACCTCTAACGATCAGAATTCTCCTTCTCCACTCCAACTACCCTATCACATTACTTGATGCTCATTCTCTGTTCTGCCGAGTCAACTCAGGAGAGAAACAAAAAGCTTCCTCGTTAATGGCTCCTCTGCAACTTCTGCTCTATCTGCTCGCCGCCGTGTCAATGGCTTTCTCCATTCACGGCACCGTAGCTAGCAACGAAGAAGACGCTTCTGTTCAACTCAACGACGACGTTTTAGGCCTGATAGTGTTCAAGTCAGGTCTCCACGACCCGTTTTCCAATCTTGATTCTTGGAACCAAGATGACAACTCCCCCTGTTCGTGGAAGTACATAGAGTGTAATCCTCTTACGGGTCGGGTTTCCGGGGTGTATCTTGACGGGTTGGGATTGTCAGGGAAGATCGGAAGAGGGTTACAGAAGTTGCAGCAGTTGAAGGTACTATCACTGTCAAATAATAATTTCAGTGGTGGCATTACTCCGGAGCATTTTCTGAGTAGTAGCCTTGAGTTTCTGAACCTTAGTCGTAATAGTTTCTCTGGTCCGCTTCCTTCTTCTTTTGTCAATATGGGTTCAATTAGGTCTATTGATCTTTCTGGTAACTCACTCTCTGGTCAACTGCCTGATGAGCTTTTTCAAGATTGTTCATCGCCGAGATTTCTTTCTCTTGCTGGGAATTTGCTTGATGGGCCAATTCCTCGTTCACTTACCAGATGCCATTTCTTGAATTCCCTAAATCTGTCCAACAATCGTTTTTCTGGTAACCCAGATTTTGTATCCGGGATTTATTTGCTTCAAGGGATTAGGACACTGGATCTTTCTCATAATGCATTTTCTGGTTCTGTACCAGAAGGGATATTAGCCCTGCACAACTTGAAAGAGCTTCTTCTGCAAGGTAACCAGTTTGAAGGGCCATTACCGGTGGATATTGGAATGTGTCCCCATTTGAATACGTTGGATTTCAGCAATAATCTTTTCACTGGAGCAATTCCAGACTCTGTTCAGAGGCTAAATTCTTTGGCTTTTCTCAGTTTATCAAACAATAGATTGATGGGAGATTTCCCGCCATGGATTGCAAACTTGAGTAATCTAGTCTACTTAGATTTCTCCAAGAATGATTTGACTGGAAACTTGCCAGCTTCACTGGGTAATCTGAGAACACTGAACTATTTGAGCTTGTCTCATAATAGACTAACTGGAGATATACCCATGTCACTGGGTTACTGCACCCAGTTATCGGTTATCCGAATGAAGGATAATACATTCAATGGAAGCATACCAACTCATTTGTTTGATTTGGCTTTGGAGGAGATAGACTTTTCGCATAATGAGTTAACGGGCTCTATCCCATCAGGATCAGCCAGACTCTTTGAATCTCTTTGTTCGTTAGATCTGTCGAGGAATAATCTCACAGGAAGTATTCCTGCAGAAATGGGTCTTTTTGCCAACTTGGGATACTTGAACTTATCTTGGAATAATCTTCAGTCCAGGATGCCTCCAGAACTTGGCTTATTTCAGAACCTATCAGTGTTAGATCTTCGAAATAGCGCCCTCTTTGGATCAATTCCAGGGGATATATGTGAATCTGGAAGTCTGGCAATTCTTCAACTGGATGGTAACTCTTTGACTGGGGCAATCCCAGAGGAAATTGGAAACTGCTCATCTCTTTACTTGCTGTATGCCTCATTGCCTTTTACGTTTTTCCTTATTCTGATCCTAAATAGTCCTGTTCTTGAAAATTTACGCATCAATGTTAAGCATGAATTTCTTTGTTCAATTTCTTTCAGGAGCTTGTCACACAATAATTTAAGTGGTCCTATTCCTGAATCCATTTCGAACTTAAGGAAGCTCAAAATCCTCAAGTTAGAGTTCAATGAACTGAGTGGAGAGATACCTCAAGAAGTTGAGAAGTTGGAAAACTTGCTGGCAGTTAACATATCTTTTAACAGGCTCATAGGAAGGCTTCCGGCTGGAAGCATATTTCAGAGCTTGGATCAGAGTGCTTTGCAGGGAAATCTAGGCATTTGCTCACCATTGCTCAAGGGGCCATGTAAGATGAACGTGCCAAAGCCACTAGTCCTTGACCCAAATGCCTACGGTCACCAAATGGATGGTCACAGGCAAAGCAATGAATCATCTTCATCCAAGTCTACAAGCTTCCATCGCCACACCTTCCTCAGTGTTTCTGCAATTGTAGCAATTTCAGCTGCTATAATCATTGCATTCGGAGTGATAACCATAAGCCTGGTTAATGTTTCTGTCCGTAGGAAGCTTGCATTTGTGGATAATACCTTGGAAAGCATGTGCTCAAGCTCATCGCGATCAACAAGTCTTACAACAGGTAAACTAATCCTGTTTGATTCAAGATCATCTCCTGAATGGATCAGCAATCCTGAATCTCTTGTCAATAAGGCTGCTGAGATCGGAGAGGGTGTTTTTGGAACTGTTTATAAAGCATCATTAGGAGCACAAGGAAGAATTGTGGCAATCAAAAAGCTTGTAACTTCAAACATACTTCAACATCCAGAGGACTTCGACAGACAAGTCCGGATGTTGGGAAAAGCAAGGCACCCGAATCTCATATCCCTAAAAGGATACTACTGGACTCCTCAGTTGCAGCTTCTGATTACGGAGTTTGCACCCAATGGCAGCTTACAAGCTAAACTCCATGAGAGATTACCTTCAACTCCACCACTTTCTTGGAGCACAAGATTCAAGATCATTCTTGGAACAGCAAAAGGGCTTGCTCATCTTCATCACTCGTTTCGCCCATCCATCATTCACTACAACATAAAACCCAACAACATCCTGCTTGACGAAAACAACAATCCCAAGATTTCAGATTTTGGACTAACCAGGCTTCTCACGAAGCTCGAAAAGCATGTGATAAACAACAGGTTTCAGAGTGGATTAGGGTATGTGGCACCAGAACTAGCTTGCCAGAGCTTGAGGGTGAACGAGAAATGTGATGTCTATGGCTTCGGGGTCCTGATCCTTGAGCTTGTCACTGGGAGGAGATCAGTTGAATACGGAGAGGACAATGTGGTAATACTAAGTGATCATGTGAGGATCTTGCTGGAGCAAGGTAATGTGCTGGATTGTGTTGATCCAACCTTGCTTGATTACCCTGAAGATCAGGTCTTGCCTGTACTCAAACTGGCACTTGTCTGCACATCTCAAATACCATCTACCAGGCCTTCAATGGCGGATGTGGTACAAATATTGCAGGTCATCATGACTCCAGTTCCACAAAGAATGGAGGTTTTCTAATTGTTTAACATCAGAAAAAGAAATTTATATCCCTTATTTTGTTTAAATTTATTTCGTTTCCTATTTCTTTTCTTCTGAGAATCAATGAGATTCAATCTGCTAGTTATATGCATCTTAATAGTTCTGCGTTCTGTAAAA